TCGATCCAGTGGCGGAGCTAAATTCCAAAATCAAAAAAAATAAATTTCTCAAGCTGACGTTTCAGATACTCCTAATCATTTTTAATATCAACTTGTTGGCGGAGGTATATTTATAAACTTCTAATGCCTTAGGTGTATTTCATACTTACCATTCCCCGTATATTTGCCCTTAAGATTTAGAATGACAGACAATTTTTATATAAAGTTGTGCGCTAGCCGCTGTCGCTGCATCTCGGGCGAAAATCCACGCGATGAAGTTTTTACTTTAACAGCTGAGAAGAATCCATCGTCGACGCGCGACGTTGTGACAATTGCAACTACCAGTGCAATATAATTTATTTAATTTAAATAATCAGATACGATGATAACATTCGGGCTATAGTTTTTCAGGTGTGAAATAACGAACAAGCGTTCACCAGTCGTCTGGCCATATAGATAAATGTATTTCCAAGAATGAAGAATGCATTATTTCATCTATTTTTAGTACCTTTTTCTCAAGCAAACTCACAATACCGCATGCCGTTATACAGACATGTATTTTTTTTAATGGCTGTCGAACAGTAATAAGGCGTAGCTAGTAACGTCCCTGCAAACATGTCTTATGAAATGAAAAAAAGGGTACGTCAGTGATATTTTTCATAAGTGAATGTTTTTCCTAGTTGATCATTTCTACATAAAAACCATTTTAAACTATTTTTCCCTCAGATGGACCGTTTTTTATTAGACCGAACAAATTTTAACTGCTAACCAGAAAAAATATCCTCATTGAAAAAAATAGCGGCATATCAGTTTCTTTTTTTTTTGTAAAAATATCACAAAACATGTAGCGCAATAGAATAACTTTTCATACTAAAATTCTTAAACCCATTTTGCATGGTCTTATAATGTGCTCGAAGATACAAAATAAAAACGATTATTTTTAAGTTTTCAACACCAAAACAATTTATCCACTACGGACTAATGCTCATAAGAACTCTTCTTCATAAAATTTTCTGAGGAATTATATCCTGGAATATTAGCACGTCATTGTAGAGTGTGCAATTTCATGGGACGTGATGTATGTTTCACTGTTTCGTTATTCTGATGAGAAAACTAGTGTCAATACTGGAGTGTATTTATACAAATAAATGGTGGTTTTGGCTGATCATCGTGTCGCATTGCCAACGTCATTCCTGTTGATGTATCTACGGCGGTTCTATCTGGATCGACAGCGGCTGGAGAAAGTTTTGCGTCTCGATGAAGCGTTTTTTCTTTACCCGTTATATTTTATCTACTCTCTTGTATTAAGTATGATGTACGTTTGTCCGTTATATTCGTTTCGTGACATTTCAACATATTAACTTTCGCTGTCGTCATATCCGGATGATCATTGTTTTACTTGTTTAGCCAAAATGTTACAAGTTCAAATGCTTATATTAGCTATGCATACGCAAAGGAACCATTCCGATTACGAAAAAAATAAATAGCGCTCCAACGTCGTTATTTGACTTTTCCGATTTTCCTGATGATTTTAACGGAAACATTTGGTAGGTTTAATAATTGGGGAGTGGGGGTCGCTGCGGGTGGGGAGGTTTTGAATCAATTTTTTGATAGTGTATTTATATACTCCCAACTTCGGTAGTTTCAAACACATATCGTAGTGATTTCACACCTCATAGATTTCCCCGTACATTTGTCCTTAAAACTTAGAATGACAGTGGAATGTTTTCGATACGCATCTCTGTTTCTGCTCTCTGGGTTCACCGGCGGGTGCCCGCCTCGATAAGTATTCTACCATTACTGGGGCGCTGCTTTATCGGGCGCGTCGTGTGGTCAGGTATGTGGGAGGGCGTTGCCAGATGGACAGGCAGAAAAAAATGTCTATGGACTAATTGTATGGGTCTGTTTGATTGACTTGATCCGTTTAATTTCTCAGTTATACATGATCGTAAGTAACTTTTTTCTAACTTATATGCTGAACAATAATCATTTATGGACTGATGACGGCGTTGCGCGGGAAGCGCAGAGTTCAAAAATGTTGAAATATACAGTGTATTTCGTTTACATTTTTGCGAGAAAAAGTACGTTTTGCGTTTTTGGTATTGTATTGATCATTCAAAAAATAAGCGAATTACGTTAAAATTCAGTTCAAATAAAATTTGTGGACACACAATTTACTGTTCTTGTTGATAAGCCAGGTGGCTGGGAAGCAGGTTGTCAAACTTCGGTGTTTTTTTAGATAAAATACCAAATAGCTCAATAACTAATAATCAAAACCCTTAAGTATATTATATGAATATCCTTCTTTTAAAGGGGCTTATACAAATACAGGGATGTAAAAAAATAAAGTTGATATGTGGTCAAAATTAGGACACTGTGTACAATAGAAAATATTTTATAAATACGCCCCCATATACCATATATAATAAACCAGTTTTTTAAGTTGGGACTCGCTGTATAGTTTCCAAAAGAGGTCATGTAAATATACAATATAAGGAATTTTCTCAGGGACTAAGAGGTGGATTTTATTCAAATGCTTTGAACAAAGTTCAAACATTTCTTTAAATCGTGAGCAAATGCAAGTACTTTGGTAGCATGTACCTGGTATGTTTTACTTTGCTTTTAGTACAAATTCGCTCATATCAACCTTCTTATTTTACACTTGTTCAGGTTATGTAGTTCTTACTGTTAGCATGGTAAAAACATTATTTAAAACTGGTCTTTATGATTTTCAACTTGACCATTTTGCATATTGTCAATAAAATTTGTTTTTAGGAACTCGATAATATGTATACATTTGGTGAACCTAATCTGTTTTTTGTTTTTTTCGTACTTAATAACACGAACATTTTTCAGACGATATATTGGATTCTCGATCCATTCATGTTTTGACAAATATAATTAAAATATAAAAACTGATGATTCATATTTTTTAACCGGATGACGGTTTTGGGTATTGAAAACCTGTGAGCAAAATCTTAGATTAGACATCGCATCCTGAAATATAAAGTTCTTTTTTCTTCTGCAACAGTCGAAGGTCTGAAACGTATTTGCTGTTGTAACCATTTACGTTTGTTACTTCCTTCATTTGTTTCTGGACAAATAAATCAGGCAGCATTGTTGGCGGATAACCGGAGAATTCAAGTAGCCTTGGCGTGGGTAGTTATAAAAAAAAGAATCGCGGTCATGTTGGTACCAGCCCAGGTATACGTACGAACTTACTTACGTACATACAACTTTGAAAGTATGAATATCCGCATTTTGCGGAGTCATCTTTGAGGTTACGAGGGTGGAGCAAATAATTATGGTTTTATACGTTTACACCAAGTTCACACCAAAAGGACTCGCACAGTTTAGTTATAAGGCGTTAGGGTGATATTTTCTGAACATTTGTCGTCCGTTCAAGTCTCCATGGGCCCAAGGGCCTTATTGCCCCTCTAAAACCACACGACCCACCCAAAAACTCAAAACGGTGAAGCTACATACTATTTATACTATATATACTATTTTTATGTTCATACGACTTTAACTTTACACATCAGTAATACAAGAGTGGAATATTGTAAAGACGAAAATTTTGAATTCAAGATCTTATGTTTCTTGAATACTGTGAGGTTAAGCATTTTAAAACACGATATTTTAACAAAACAAAACCGGCATGAGCATACCTACAAGATGAACTTGTAACATTATCGAGAAACAATGCAGGTTTTGAAAATAGGACCAGAGACCGCGGTTTTGTGAACGAAAAACAAAACTTCCACTGTTGATATTCTAATTAGACGCTAGCAAGTATTTCAAAATTTAATAACACTAGACTTCGGTTTGCTTATCACTTTAGGGAGCAGTCAACATATTTAAACATCTGTTGAAACCGGTCATTCTGGTGCAACGTCAAAAACATGTGAAAGATTTACAATGTGCGTAAGTCGGAAAAAATAGATTTTAATAATATACTTATGTGGGAAAGCACTGCGTGACTCTATTTCCTATATATATATATATATGTGCAAATGTGCATATATCTGTTGCGAACCATTAATTTGAGTCATCGACTGTGTTGTGTTATCATTTTACTCAATAACTGAACAAATGATCAAATATCCTTGATGTGAGCTGCCAGCTTTACAAAGTTCAGTATAGTCATCCTTTTCATCCTACTATACTCTCGTAAGCTGAACGATGAGTCACTCACTTCGGGTATGATACGATCGCATTAAGAGTTATTTATTATTCTTATCCTTATCTAAATCATATAGTGCCTTTATTGTATGCCAAGAGATAAATCTGATAAGGCCATTAACTTTTATCGTCAAAAATGTAATACAATGAATCTTTTCGTTTTAATTACATGCAGAAGTATAATTTATAAATATTAAATGCGGATTACATTTAATGTAGAAATATACGATCAATTTATACTTTTCACGTAAACACGTACACTTCTAATTATTTGTGTGTTGTTTGAGTGTTCTTCCAATGAGAGCCAGGTTAAAAAGGAAAATACCGTACAATAGGTTGACCCGGTACTTTACACGCATTATCAGTAGCATGAATTATACGGTGCTTTTCAAAAATGCCCTCCCCACTTTATTTTTTGAACGGATCAATTTAGCAAACTTATATGCACGATCATTCATGAATGCTGTCTTAGCGTAAAAGAAAATTTAAAGATGGCGGCTGGAAGCTGGAAACGTTATAGAGTTATATTAGTCCTCTTCTTTTGGAAGTCTCTATCTGAATGTGCGATAAAATATAGGTCAAACCGATTAAAAAATTAACAGGTATTGACATTTTTACTATAGCCTATTCATGATTCGTTGTTGAATTATAAACGATTTATTGCACAAAAATGCTCAACTTTGACAGCCTGCCAGTCCGCCAATATGAAGGCAACTGATTAGGTTATATAGTACGTTTGTTTTTTTTAGATGTGGCATGACTATAGTCGCCTCTATGTATTAAGTTTGAACCTCATATACTCCATAGCTAACATGTTCAATCTAAACTGTTTGTTTCAGTATCCAGTAACGACGATCTTACCTCCATACGATACAGCGCGTAAGAAAGAACCATCTGCCCAGTTCAGTACCGAAAGAGAAGCCTGCCTGAAATATTTCGAGAAATGGAGCGAATCGGACCAAGTGGAATTCGTGGAGAACCTCCTAGCCAGGATGTGTCACTATCAACATGGTCACATCAACTCCTATCTAAAGCCAATGCTACAAAGGGACTTCATCTCTTTACTGCCAAGTAAGTCTTAAATCAAACTGCTTTTAGGGGACACTTTAAAAATTTAACAAGTGCATTTATACAGAATACAAAAAACCCGACTGCAGTAGTTGCAGTAGTTGAAAATAACTAACTACTAAGACGAATCCAACGATACCTCATGCGTCAAAATTCATCAAACCGTTTGGTCTGTAGCCCGAGAAATAGAATTTTTTGCTACATACATACCCACGCATGAAAAACATTACCCTTCCAATCTTGGGAATAATAAATCTGTAATTTGTTTGTTATCAGGTTTATCTGCTAGAAAAATATAAAAGCGAACTAATCGATCTAGTTACTAATAGTCTGGAGTATATTTCAAGTCAGCGAAAGATTAGATAAGCTTTAATCAATATTGGTACAGTTTAATGCTTCCAAAACACAGTACTAACAAGAAGCGCCCTAGCGCTCATCCGGCTTCGATAGATGGCCATAGAGCCGTTCATTTCGGCTGATCACCAACGACTTCATTTGGCACAAACACATCTCGTCTCTAGCGGCAGCTGCTGGAAAAAAGATAGATTATTTGTTTTTGGCTAAGAAGTCCTTTTCTTCACATGGCCTCCTCACTCTGTTCAAGACCTCAGATAAGACTTAGCATCGAGTGCTGCTCACATGTTTTGGGCGGTGCTTCATCGACTGCATTATGCATGCTGGATGCTGTTTAGAGGAGGGCTGTCCGACTAATCCATGACTTTTCTGTAACGGACAGTCTAGGAACCTGCGAGACAGACCCGCTTGACTTCGACCTTCCATACTAACCGTGTCGAACTTTGTACATCCAGAACTGGCCGATACAAGCCTTTGTCCCTAGGGTCACGAGATTGTATAACAATCTACCTGAGGAGGCGTTTCCCAGTTCTACTAACCTTGGGCAGTTCAAAAATCGGATTAACAAAGTTTGCCATAGCAGGACAGTGCCCTGGTGTTTAGGCTTCTGCCTGCGCGGCTGCTTCGGTATAAAAAAATAGTTCTGATGCGTTACTGAATTTTTACATATTCGACATTAGAAACTTACTAAACATGAAGGACAGGACGTGTTGAAGTATCGTGGTAAATATTGTATTTTGCGTGTTTGATGTTTAGTAGATATCGTTATGTCAGGTGCCACAGGTCAGATACCCTTTGCTTACTTCAGGTACTTATTCATACTTCAACAATTATTTCTTGTAATCCAATGTCTATATGAAGTATGTCTACCTCTTCATCTGGACTCAATTCTTCAGCTATTTTTGACCATAATCCAATGATTAACTTTTTTCCCATGTCGTCTTATATTGATTTTATTCGTTGATTGAAGTAACGTCTGTTTGCTGTGGCCTATTTTTGTCGAAAACATATTTATGTGATTCTGATAATTGATCAGAATTAGTGAGATTAGTTAGATTAAGTTTAGCGATCTTAGAATTAGATGTATTGTTCGACTAGTATACTACTATTTCTGTGACTTATCTTGTAATGACCATGAAACAATATACAGTGCTTCTCAGAAAGGTTTCCCCCTATTTATTCTTGAACGGCAGGGTTATTACGTAAAAAACTATGTAGTGTCAAAAAATATCGGTAAAATGCACCAGATAGCCGCTAGTCCATTCGGCGCCTACTACAAGTAAGCATGGTTCATAGGAGACATTTTATAGGAAAACCTGCAGAATGTCAAAAAACCTACTTACTGTTATAAAAAATCGATATAATGACACTTTACGTACTACGGGTGCCACAGGGTTATTACGTAAAAAACCTATATAATGTCAAAAAAACCTATAAAATGTCAACTTGTTGACTAAGGGCCGTATCGTCAGTCGTTGCTACAATTATTGTAGGATGCCTTTATGGCCTCCTTGATTTTAATAGTTTTCTACTGTTACGTGTCAGCACTTTATTTTGTTTATTTATTTATGTTACAATTATCTAGTTTCATCAAATTGTTCATGCTTTTGATTTATATTGTCTTTTATATAAAGCTAAAATGTCCTACATTTCAAAAAGAAAACATAGACTTAAAATAGGAGAGGGCTGGCGCTGATACGGAACAGTAGAAATCTAAAAATACCCTAGCCTTTCTGAAGGAGAGAAAAGACTATGGGAAATCAAGGAGGCCATCAAGTCATTCTACAAATGTAGGAACGACTGACGATACGGCCCTAAATAGGCTAGCGAGCAAGTAGTTCATTCCCCGCTTGCTACAAGAGAGCATGAAGTTGAACGACAGCTAGTTACAAGTCGTTGTTTTGTTGGAAAACCTACATAATGTCAAAAAACTGGCATATTGTAAAAAACGATATTAAGGCCCGTATCGGCAGTCGTCCCTACAATTGTAGGGCGCCTTTATGGCCTCCTTGATTGTCATAGTTTTCTACTTCTCCGTGTCAGCACTCTATTTTGAGGTTATGTCACAAACATCAATTTGCATCAAATTGTGCTTGGTTTTGAGTTATATCATGTTTTATCAGCCTGAAATTTCCTACAATTTAAAAGGAAAACAAATCTTCACAATTGGAGAGCGCTGACGCTGACATGGGACAAGTGTAATCTAGAAATTTTTGAAGGAGAGAAAGAAGTATGACAATCAAGGAGGCCATAAAGGCGCCCTACAATTGTAGGGACGACTGACGATACGGGCCTAAGACACTTCAAGTTACATAACACCCCTGCGGGTCAATTCAGTAGTATGAAATTGACACATGAATACTGTATTTTAATGTAAAAATATCAGTTGAAAACTTCAAGATGGTGGTAATATTTTTTTAAGTGGAATTTGCTTCATGTGGTACCTTATTTTGAACCTCCTCATAAGTTGAGGGTTATTGTACATTGAATCGCTTATAACTTAAAACTATTCATCAAAATGTTATTTGTTAAGTCAATCTTCTTCTTTTGGAAGCGTCTATCTGAATGTGCAATAAAATATGGCACATTTAAAAAAATGACAGATTTTGACAATTTTTTCCAATAGAATCTATATTTTATTATATATTCGGATATATCCTTTCAAGAGAAGATTGATTTTTTTTATATAGAAGCAGTCGCGCAGGCAGAAGCCTAAATGCCGGAACACTCCGGCTGGTATGATGATCCCAAAGAAATTTTGTTAATACGATTTTCGAACTGCCGACACCCTCGGGACATCGGAGCGGTAGTATCGGTCAGTTCTGGATGTACGAAGTTCGACACAGTATATAGCATGCTATAACGTTTTGATGATTGGTTGTAGAGTTATAAGCGACTTAACGTACAAAAACGCTCAACTTTGGCTGGCTGCCAGTTTGCCGTTTCAAAAGAGAGCGTAGTGTTATAAAATATTCGTAAGGAGATTCAAAATGATTTATCACGCTACCCCCATTTAATTAAAAACAATCTTCCCAGTCGCCATCTTAAACTTTCCTACTGCCTCTTTTACGTTAAATTATCTATGCATCAGTTTCATTACTTGAAGTTTCAGCTTCCTTACCTGACTTGTTACAAATAATAAGTAGGCTATTGGAAAGCACTGGATTCAATAAATTGGTAAACAGAAAAGATTATGCGGAACCAATTTGACGCGATAAGTTTAATCCGTTATTATTTACATCGATTTTTTAGTATGATGCATTTTTTTCTGATTTTATGTCGAATTCCAACATTAAAAGACAACTCATTTAAATCATCCAATCAGCCAATATGATTTTATGCCCGACACCGGTAGAATGTCAAACTATCAAAGTGATAATCATCTTAGGGAAATTCTAACCACAATGACAGAATTCTAATGGCAGGGCGTGAAAAAACGTATTACGTTACTTTCAAACTTGACGTCACATTTTTGGTTCAAAAGTGTATGTTAAAATTTAAGAAGGCAAGTTTTGCCACATCTCGTTCATAGTAAAAAGTAGAAAAATGCTCATAATATATTTTTTGAGGGCATGCCTATCTATCCAGAAAAGTTGTGTATTGAGGATGTATTGTTTGGTACTTATTCTTCTTTGAAGTCGATGGTTATTTTAAAATCAGTTCCAGCATGGTTCTTGATTTTCCAGATGTCTTAAAGCAGAATGTTATTGGCACTCTCGTAGGAATATATTGTACTTGATTTGTTTCAGCGTGACATATAGTACTGTTTGTTTTTCCTTCATAGAGAAAGGATTGGACCATGTGGCCGAGAATATCCTCTCCTATCTAGACGCAGATAGTTTAAGGAATGCCGAAATAGTATGTAAAGAATGGTTCCGGGTGATCTCAGAAGGTATGTTGTGGAAGAAACTTATAGAGAGAAAAGTTAGGACTGACTCGCTATGGCGGGGATTAGCGGAAAGAAGGAACTGGTAAGTATGGATACTCCTGTACATTTAGCTCGCCGTTATACGTCAACAATTTACCGATATTTTTATCAAATCAATTATCAACTGACTGCCCATACGGCAACGCCAAGTAGTCAGACTAAAGAAAAACTAAAACTAACAAAAAATTACAATTAACATTCACGCAAGTAAATTTTTTTCATCTTGAACCAAAAGGACCTTAATTATTTTTCTCTTAAGCTGGTCAATCCCTAGGACACTCAAATATAAGCTCAAACATTGCTGACAGGAAGCATGAGTTTGATTTGTTTTAATTGCTTATTTGTCAATTGTCAATTATAAAACGGTAGCTTCGTTTGTTCATCTTTAAATAAGAAACATATATCTCACAGAAAAAGAATCGATCAGGGTAAAAAGGTTGATTTTATCGCAGGAAAAATTGGCAAGGACATTGTAGAAGCAGAAAAAAACAAAATCGACAGAAAAAAGATATAACTAATTTCCGCCGGTCTTGTGGCCCTATCGTCAGTCGTTCCTACAATATTGTAGGACGCCTTTATGGCCTCCTTGATTTTCATAGTTTTCTACTCTTCCATGTCAGCGCTCTATTTTGAGGTTATGTTACAAGTATCTATTTGCATCAAATTGTTCATGCTTTTGATTTATATAATCTGTTATATAGCCTGAAATTTCCTACAATTCAAGAAGAAAATTAGCCCGACAATAGGAGAGCGCTGACGCTGACTCGGAACAGTAGAAATCTGGAAATACTCCAGCATTTCTGAAGGACAGAAAGTGCTGTGAAATTCAAGGAGGCCATAAAGGCGTCCTACAGTGTAGGAACGACTGGCTACGAGGGATGTCTTTTAAGTTTTGCATATAAACATAGTAGGCCGCGCGGATCGAACATCAGTACTGAATCTTAGCCCCACTCTTTAGTAAACTGAAATTCAAAGTGTCACCAAGTCATTAGAAAAATGGAACTCAACCGAGAACACTTTCGCGCCATAATTTATTACAACATTCAGAGACAATTATCGCAACAAGAATGCCTTGCTGAGTTACTGTCTGTTTTCGGCAACGAAGCCCCACATCAGTCGACAAGTTCCCGTTGGTATGGAGAATTCAAATGTGGTCGGGTGAGTCTTAGCGACGATCCCAGGGTGGGTGCACCAAAAACCGCAGTCACCCAAGAAAAAGGTCGATCCAGTGCGCAAACTCATCATTGAAGATAGACATGTGACATATCGCGAGATTGAGGCGTCCTTGAAGATCTCAAAGACCTAAATTCAAAAAAATTTACGTGAAGAATTAGGAGTAAGAAAATTAGTTTCTCATTGGATACCCCACCTGTTGACTGAAGAGCAGAAAGCAGCCAGGGTTAATTGGTGTCAAAAAATGCTTTACAGTTTCAATTCCGGAAACTCAAAAATGTGTACAGCATTGGTAGTGGTGATGAATCGTGGATTTACTGTTATGAACCAGAAAATAAACGACAGTCTGCTGTTTCGGTGTTCCAAGGTGAAGAAATGCCAGCAAAAGTCATCCGTTCTCGAAGAGTTTCGAAAAAGATGGTCGCGAAATTTGTGTCAAATTGGTATACCACCATTTCTTTTAAAAAAGTCATCACCGAGCTTCGAAAAATCAACCGCGAAAGAAGAATCATCCTCCACCAAGACAATGGAAGAAAACGTGGAATTATTGGACCATGCTCCATATAGTCCCGATCTAAGTCCTAACGATTTCTTTACTTTCCCGAAAATTAAAAACAGACTGCGTGGTCAAAGGTCCGGTTACCAGAAGAAGCAGTTGACGCATTAAAAAATACCGTTTTGGATCTGCCAGCAAACGAGTGGAATAAGTGCTTCGAAAATTGATTCGAGCGCATGGAAATGTGTATTAATCTTCGTGGAGAATACTTAGAAAAACAATAAAGTCATTTAAAACTACCTACCGTGTTGTTGTATTTCCCTATGCAAAACTTAAAAGACATCCCTCGTATACGGCTCTTATGATTACGTTGTACAGTTTGTTGTACAGAGTTCCACTGTGAAATATAGCTCAGAAGTCGTACACGTTTTGCTTTATTCTAAAAGCGTTGTCAGACATACTACTAACAGTCCATTTCAGCGAATAAAGTGAAAAGCCTATTTTACTGTGGAACTATGTAGAACAAGTTGTATAACCCAATCATATTAGAGAAGATCGTCACCAAGTAAGGGCATAAGATTTCGTCGCACAATAAGGTTACTAGTACTATCTTGCCAAAAACGGAAAATGACAAACAAAACATTTTAGAACATTTTCAAACTTGGGCTGTTGTTGTTTTTTTATCAAGTTTCTATTTTGGGGTTAGTTAAAACGATCTTCTAGGACGGGTCAATTTGTTCACAAATTCACAAAATCGTTTTTCGACACTTTTCAATTTCTTAATCACTCGTCATAGTAAACAAAGTCGTATGCCAATGTCACACGATCAATATTCACTGTGGTCCGTACCATCAGGGGTGCGTTTGTAAATCACTTGGTAGATTTGTAGATTGACAGATGACGTTTTATTTTGGAATACTGTATAATTTTATTTTTAGAACGCCTAAATTATTACCGAAACATGCAATGACACTTGGTGTCAGCCGACTAATTTTTAACCACGTCTTTTGCGTCCACTGTTTTTATTATAAAATTGCTATGGATACGAGCCCACTTATCGTGAAAAATACATATACCAATTTTGAGCACTTTTTGATAACCAAATTAAGTAAACAAACAATGAACCATGGGAATGACAAGTAACAACACTCGTATTCTCAAAGAACCCCAAGGTATTGGGCACGGGAAGCAAAGTGTACTTTTGACCTACCAGAAGGATTACTTTGTTCTATTTCCGAACATATGGAACAGATACGTCAAACAATTATGAACTCTGAAAATGTTACAGAGTAGTACAAAGTACACTCTGTAACAATTCACGAACGCATAAGCAATAACTGACATCCTAGCTACACGGGCAATATATATAAAATTATATGATTCATACTGATGAATTACAGTAAATACTGATCGTATGGCATTTGCCTTAGGCGACAGTTTTCGTAATAATTTATTTCCTATCCCTATATTTCACTTTTCACTAATAACACTTGAAATTTTTGTTTCTGATATTTTAGTTTTGTCCGAATGCGGAGTAACAATTATGCTGATCTAACACCATTTTTTAATATAGATTATGATTTCAAATCTGACCAATTTTCGCGTAGACGACATGTAGGCTCTTATTTTAGGACCCCTAACGTGTTTGCTGCTTGTTTATTTGATAGATATTATTTGGATTGCCGCTGGTGCACAGCGCGACGTTTCCCCGATGGGGATCAATCAACTCATTTTAATAACATGGAAGGAATAAGAAGTCTACCGATATTTTTGCCCCGATACCGATATATGAGGCTGATATATCGGTGTTCGTTTTTTTTTTTCGTGTTCAGCCAGATGAATTTTGGATCGGGTGGCGACGTGGGCCACAAACAAGTACGATGACTGTAAATTAAGTGATGAGACTGCTTGTTTTAATTATTTATTCAAGTATAATCACAATTTTATATTGTAACTTGTAACACCTGAAGCCACGCGGCGCTGGATACGATTCTTCCACTTCTCATAGCAGTGCGGGAACTCCTATACTGGTATAGCCTTCAACTGGTCGGTTACAGCCGTTTGAACGTTTTCGTCTGTCCCAAAATTAGTTTCCTAGAGGTGACTTTTCAACTTCGGGAAGAGAAAAAATCACAAGCACCCAAGTCAGGTGAATAAGGAGGCTGAGGAGCCGCAGGGATGTTTTTACTGGCCAAAAACTCGTTTATTGGCATTGCACTGTGATAATGAGCATTAACGTGATGCAATACTCGGTTGTTCTTGATCTGATGAACGGTGGTGTGAGTCAAATCTAACACTTCCCCTATTAGTCTGACTGGCTACCGACAATCGGAACGCACAAAATCTCGGATGCTGTCGAAATTTTCATCGGTTCTTGAAGATGGCTTTCCGCTTCGTAGTTCATCTTCAATCGACTCTCTCCCTTTTGAAAAAGGCGCAAACTACCGAAAAACCGGGACTCTTGACAAAACACTATCTCCGTAGGCCTGTTTAGCAAGAGTTACCTTTGCACTGTGCCCAAGTCTGAAGCAAAAAATGATAGTACACCATTGCTTAAAATTGATGTCACTCATTTTTAGAACACAATAGAAAAAATTGTTTCACAAAAAAAAAACCAGACAACCAAATGAATGGACATCAAACATGATGTATCATTTTCTGAGTATCACAGATGAATATACCAAAATGCAATCATTAAAGGATTCATATCAATTGAAACTGACTTTTAGGTATCGTTCCATTATCCAAGTAACAAAACGAAATGAAATACATGTCTATCTATTGGGATATTTTCAATCCATTAACATTAAATTTTGTAATTCATATTGGTCAGCCTAACATATCCGCATATGGACAGGCAAACCAGCCGATCTAAACATCGGCAAAATAGGCCGGTATTGCCGCTTTACATATCAGTACCGGTCGATCCCTATAAAGAATGCGAACTTGTGTGCCCGTACCTTTATGGGACATTAACGACTGCCATTTCTTTACTTACTCTCCTATCCATCTATATCATTGTCGTTCCTGACGAGTTACTGACGGTGCTTTTCTTTCCAGGATACAGTATCTGTTCAAACCGCGCCCGGGCGAGAACCATCGCCCGCACAGTTTCTACCGCTCGTTGTATCCGCGGATAATCAGGGACATCGACAGCATAGAATCGAACTGGCGAAACGGCAAGCATGTGCTGCAGAGGATCAACTGTCGCTCGGAGAACAGCAAAGGAGTATACTGTTTGCAGTACGACGATCAGAAGATCGTGTCTGGATTGAGGGACAATACCATTAAGGTCTGGGATAGGAATACTTTGCTGTGTACGAAGGTATGTTCAGCCACTAATCTCTCTAATGCAGAACATAGAACTGTAAAGTCTTTTGATAGTTTTTGGTAGCATTTGAAGAAAATAATATTGTTTTTGCAAATTCCGAAATAATTTTTGAGTTTCCTGACAATTGTATGCATAACGTTTACATCGCGGAAAACCGCATATTACACTACAGATAATACACACTTGTATTTTTAGCCCCTCGAGCGCCACCTAAACAAAGCATTCCTAAGCCAGCATAAGCAATAATTTCCTTACGGGAAGCGAGACTAGTCAACCACGCTCGCGCCCTCTATTATCAGTACCATGCCTTATACTCCATTCGTTTTCACGCCTTTTCATACTCTTATGCCGCATCTACACATTGGGCCAAACCTAGGCCAACAGCAATGGGTGAACGCTAAACTAACGCGCATTGGCTGGAGTTGGACAACGTTGACGTTGAATGATATCATATTACCTCCCAGAGAAGATTTTCAGATGGGTGGCTGACTTCATCTCTAGCCGCAAGATAGAGGGTGTCACAACAAGAGCGCCGGATTCGAATTTGCTGCCATTTTTTTATTCAAATGGTATGGTGTTTACTTGATGACAGCTGTCATGTCCAGACCACGCGATTAGACGTTATGGAGCAGTATTCAAACGAGCAACGTGTAATTATTGTGAAAACTCACTACAGAAATGGAGAAAATTACGCGGAAACAGTTCGCAAATTACGTACAATTTTCGGTCGCGATAATGCGCCAAATGAGTCTACATTCGCCGTTTGATTACAAAATTTGAGACAAAATTCACGTTGCTGAATGTGGAGACCACTGTTCATCGCCGTTCTCGTCGGTCCCTTGAAAATATTGTCGCAGTGCGGGAAAGTGTGGCCGACAATCCAGGCACTTCCATTCGGCATCTTGGTCAAGAATTGAACCCTACCAGACCCACTCTGCATCGAATTTTGACAAAACATCTGTGCTTGCATGCGTACAAGGTTCAACTGACGCAAGAACTCGAGCCGACGGACCATGCGCTGCGCCGCGAATTCATTGATTGGGCGATGGAGCACCACCAAATTGATGCGGATTTCTCGAAGAAAACCATTTTCTCTGATGAGGCACATTTTCAACTGAACTGCCGAATTTGGGGTTCTGTAATGCCTCGTGTAATAATCGGACAACCAATGCATCCGCCGCGAGTTACCGTTTGGTGCGCATTGTGGAGTGGCGGAGTGTTTGGTCCGTATTTCTTCGAAAATGCAGCTGGAACTGCGGTAACTGTTAATGGTTTGCGGTATCGCTAAATGTTAACCGAGTTTTTGTGGCCCCACTTGGATCGAATTGAAGTGGAGAATATGTTCTTCCAACAAGACGATGCGACCTGTACCACAGCACGCGAAACAACTGTGTTACTGCGGACCAAGTTTCCAGACCGTGTCATCTCACTGTTTGGCGATCAAAATTGGCCACCCAAGATCGTGCGATTTAATGCCAATGGACCTCTTCCTCTGAGGCTATGTGAAGGAAAAGGTGTATGCGAATAAGCAACAAACAGTTGAACGCCATAAAGAAGAAATACGGCGCGTTAACGACGAAATAGTGCCACAGTTGTGCGAAAACGTTATCCAGAATTTTAAGAAAAGACTGACCCTGTGCGAGAGGTTTCCTGCTGGCCATTTACCGGATGTCCTATTTCATGTTTAATCGCAACTATTCCTCTTCATGTTGGAATATAAATACTCGCTTAGTTCGAAAAGAAATTGTGTTTTTCTTGAAAGCGCTCTTATTGAGACACCCTTTATCCGTCGTAATTGATGGGTTCTCCTCTTCATCCCACAACGGCAAAGCGGGTATTTCCCAGGGATCGGTCTTGGCTCCGACATTGTTCTTCTTACATATGAACGACCTGCTTTTCTGTATGGCCAATCCAAACCACAACTTTGCGGAAGACACCTCTATATGCATGAATTCTGAGTAACGAGCCGATCTCTGCCAGTGAGCTGGAGAAAAGAAGACTAGCAACGACTTTCTCTCTAGCGAGAGACCTTGAGGTTATCACTGCTTGTGGACGCAGCAAACTTATAGAGTTTAATGTTGTTGACGAACAAGTTCTACCAAAGAGCCGTCCTTTTCGGCTGGTCGGTTTCAAGATCACCGAGCACTTGATCTGGCTCGAATTCGTATCGTCAATAGTGACAGCTGCTGGGAAAAATTATACTATATGTTGAGGGCTAAGAAGTACTTTTTCTCCTCTTGACCTCGCCTCTCTGAACAGGGCCCGGACCTAGCCTCGAGTACTGCTCACATGTGTGGCTTGCTGCGGCATATACAGAAAAGCTTGCGCCGTGTCAGCATGCCCAGACGCCCACTGATATTTCACTAACACTAATGAAAGATCATCAGAAAAAAATTCATAATAACCCCAAAAGTCGAGCTTCTAATAAAGGCGGACCTCAAGGTTGCGACTTTCGCTTACAGAGCGGCATTGTTAGCCTCAAACATCTAAATTAAACTGAACAATAGATCGAAAATGTTGAATGCGGCTACCATCCCTTAACGTGGAACGCCTCACTGTCATTATATCAAGTATAATCCGATTTCGAAGGGTTGTTTAGCCATATTTTAAAGAATGTTTTGGCACTTTCACAGTGATTATATTAGTGTAGTTCCCGTTTTCATAAGTATAATTCTGGACTTCTTGTCAACCTATCCTTGGATGTGATTTGTTAGAATAACTGTAGACGAATCTGAACTTGACCCTGATCATATTTTAAATCAATTAATTTGTTATGATTTTATTAAAACCTAGCGCGAATAAATTTATTTTCCAGGTGCTGATAGGGCACACCGGCTCGGTCCTGTGTTTGCAGTATGACGATAAAGTGATCATTAGTGGATCTAGTGATTCAACTGTTAGAGTGTGGAATGTTAACACAGGCGAGATGGTCAACACGTTGATACATCATTGTGAAGCCGTCCTACATCTTAGGTTTAATAATGGGATGATGGTGACTTGTTCTAAGGTATGAGAAATTCATTAATTGATGTCAACAGCGTCATTGTGGAGATTTTTACATGAGTTTCTAGCAGCACTTTTCTAAAATTTAGCATTACCTTGCAAATCAAAACTCATGAACCAATTTAGTGAACTTGACCAAATATTATAAAGAAAGTATCCTTTCTTTCTCGGAATTCTATTACTGTATGGTTCAGCCAGTCAACTCTGTGCATCCCAACACTCCAAAAAAATACACCTCATGTCATTTTAAAGGCTCGAAAGTGTAACTGGCGAACGACCAATTGACATTAGTGAGTCTAGTTCCGATTTTACTATTGACCCGCGTCTATTAAAATTTGCACTTATTTCACAAATTCGACCAATGGGAGGCGTTTTCGAAGTAACGGATGAATGGTCGATTTCTTATAAAATATCTCGCAAACTAGGGAACCAGTTTACGATTTTTGTAAGATGGGCACATAATTCTTATATTAAATCAAAAAATACTTCATATATCACATAGTTTAGCTACAAAAACTAATCTTTTTCATTTGTGTCAAACAAAATTTGCGACCCAGACGAAAATTCCACCAATTAAAAGGAAGGGTTTACCTTGTAGTGGCCGCCCTCTACTGGACTACCTTGCCACTGTGTCGATAGATGGCAGAAGCCGTATTGTGATGGGTTAGGAAGATTAGTGCTAAACACGTGTTGAGCATAAAACTAAAAGAATGATAGTCAAGTATATTGAATATTTACTCGATGTTTGTTCAAGAATAAGCATTCTGTAATTCTATTTATGTCTTCAAAGAGTTTATTAAGCAGAAGGACAAAAATCAATTATCTACTTCGGCTGACCTATAAAGGGAAAAAATAGTTTATTGTAGCTAACCTAAATGGAAAAATATTGTTATTTTCATTAAAATACTCAGTAATGGCTGTCATATCAATCAATATTGATTAGGTTTGATCCATGTATCGAGCATGGCACAATCGCGTCTTTTTGGTATGTCGAATCTGCGACTAAATTTTGTGTCCGAACACAAAAGTGTTTTTTGTTTAGCCGTACCATGTAATATATTAGGCTTGTTCAATAAGTACCCGTCTTTGACGACAGAGAGTGCTCCCGAGGAAAGTTGGTGTTATCATCGTGTGCTGTCATCTATCAAACGACGGCACAACAAATTTCAGACTGATTGATAGGTTAGTTTGGATTTGACAGCCATTTGAGTAAGACGTGTTTCGCGTTTTTCGCTAAGATGAAAAAAGAGCAGTGTCGTTCGGTAATTCGCTTTTTGTTTTTGGATGGGAAAGCATGCGAGGAGATAAAAGCAAAGTTTGATGTTGCTTATGGGGACACTTGCCATCTATGACCACAGTTAGATGTTGGTTCAATGAATTTAAACGTGGGCGAAAATCCGTTTTAGATGAAGAGCGACCAGGAGCCTGGCAGACGTTGTTACCGAAAAAATCATTCAAAAAGTCCATGACATGATTCTCGCTGATCGACGAACGAAAGTGCGCGAAGTAGCAGAGGCCCTAGGTGTGTCGACCGGAACGGCAATGAATATTTTACATATGTTGGAGATGAAAACAGTGTCGGCCGGATGGGTGCGGCTGTTAACTTCGAAGCAGTTGTTTTGGGCAATTTATGCGAAATCCGAAGGAGTTTTTACGTCGAGCTGTCACCGTTGATGAATCCTGGATTCATCATTACACACCAGAAACTAAACGACAATCAAAACAATGGATGTCTTGAATCTGATCCAAAGAAGGCGAAGACGGTGCCATCGGCCGGAAAGGTCATGGCGACGATTTTTTGGGATGCGAATGGCGTCATACTCATGGATTTTTTAGAAAAAGGAAGAACAGTCACTGGACAATACTACAGTGAGTTATTGGTCCGCTTCGACAAAAAGGAAAAGAAGGTGCTGTTTCACCACGATAACGCACTAATACATTCATCCGGAGTTGTCGCCGCAAAAGTGCATGAATTGCGATATGAAGTGCTGCCGCGATCTGCCCCGCTGCGATTTTCTCTTGTTCCCTGACAGGAAGAAATGGCTGGCGGAAAACAATTTAGCTCAAACGAGCACGTCATCTCCGAGACAGGCGTATTTTGGAGAGTTCGACAAATACTATTTTTAGAGGGGTTAAAAAATGACAGGAACGCTGGGAAAAGTGAATCTTTCTAAAAAAAAAAAAATGGAAAAAGTGATGTCTTCATTTGTAACACGGGTACTTATTGAACCGCGTTGTATGAAGTATTTCTTGATCGTATAATCTTTCCCTAGTTTGCGAGATACTTCACAAGAAGCCGACAATATTAATTAAATCCATTACTTCAAAAGCGCCTTCTTACTGTTCCAATTTGTGCCATAGGTACAAATTTTGCGCCCCGAATTAGTAAAATATGGCTTAGAGTTGGATAACCAAATTCGGCTATAAATATTTTCTAGGTAACTTTTTCAAACTGTGTTCTCTTAAATTGTACCAGTATTGATTTGCTAAATTGTACTTTATATTATAGGACCGATCAATAGCAGTGTGGGATATGACCTCGCAGACTGAAATAACACTTAGACGCGTTTTGGTGGGTCATCGTGCAGCTGTCAACGTTGTGGACTTTGACGAGAAATACATAGTTTCGGCATCGGGAGATCGTACGATCAAGGTAAGGTTCCTTCACTCATAACTATCCGACTTTATCGAAGATATACAACCGCCTTATGACTAACTGCTTTTTGACAATCATCTCTTCAACCAGTCGCAGACTGCGTTGTTTCAATCTTATTGGAGCTCGTAATTCCAACATACATCATGTCTAGGTTAGCTGACAGAAGCAGTAAAATCATTGTCTATACCAGTGGTTCCCAAATTTTTCTCTCGTAAAATTTTTGCTGGTCTTGGCGGAACTGGACCGCTACCGCCCTCTTACATACTACCATATTCCAAAAGCACGTTAAGATATATATATTTATATATACATGTATATATATATTAGATATAATGATGCAAATTTTCGAAGTGGTAAAAGTAAAAAGAAAAATGTTTTCTTATATCCTACTCATTAAAATAACCCAAATTTATTAAAAATAAAATTAAACACTAGTAACGTAAAACGTAGCTTCTTCCACAATACTTCCAGAACACATTGCTGTACCTTGACTAACAGAAAGCGTCCTAGCACTCATCCGGTTTCGATGTATGGCCGAGTTCTGCCAGAGCCGTTTATTTCGGCTGGTCGAAGTTAAGATCACCGAGGACTTGATCTGGCACGAACACATCTCGTCTATAGAGCCAGCTGCCGGGAAAAAGCTAGGCTATTTGCTTACGGCTAAGAGGTACTTTTTTCCACATGACTTCCCCATTCTATACAAGGCCCAGATAAGACCTAGCCTCGAGTATTGCTCACACTTTTGGGGTGCTGCCGCCTCGACTACATTATTCATGCTCGATGCTGTCCAGAGGAGAGCTGTCCAACTGATCGATGACTTCTCTAACAGACAGTTTCGGGACCCTTTCGCACCGGCGGACTGTCGGCCATCTAGCTCTCTTCTACCGGTACGCAAACGGGCTTTGCTCCTCAGAGCTCGCCTCCATGATGCAGCCGCGCAATGTGTCTGCCAGACAGACGCGCCTGACCGTGTCGAACTTCGTATATCCAGAACTGACCGATAAGACTGCTCCTTTGTCCCTAGGGGGGTCGAGAATGTGGAACAATCTATAAGAGGAGGCTTTTCCCAGTTCTACTAACCTTAGACAGTTCAAAAATCGGATTAACAAATTTTCTTTTTGATTATCCTGGCAGCCGCGGTGTCCTGGCATTTAGGCTTCTGCCTGTTTTGGTGTTGAAAATAAATACAAATCAACGGTGAAAAAAAAAGAGTATGACAAATCAGACTGTTAATTGGAGGGATGCACTTCATGGGTATGTTTAGCTTCAGTTATGTAAGAACTAAGCCCAAATCTACGCGGTCTTTAATATAGAATCTGCACCTTTTTTCTGTTAATAGATTTATAACAACACAATTTTTTTTTGAAAGCCCTTCAACCTGACGATTTTCCAGCAAGAGTGCGGTTTTGTGAGTGGTTGTTGCATCAACATGACAATAATCCGGACTTTTTGAAGTGCATATTGGTGACAGACGAATCTACGTTCACGCGTAATGGGGTGATTAACTTTCGCAACACTCATGTTTGGTCAGTACAAAATCCTCACGCTGTCCGTCGGGCACATTTTCAACAAACATTTTCGGTGAATGTTTGGGCTGGAATGGTGCGTCTGCTCGGTAGCGCATCAGCTGATTTCATTTTCTGTTGGAGCGGTATGATTTCGGGCAGAGACGTACTTAGCCCTTCTCGTCAACTGGAGAGTGAGTACTTTTTCCTTTATTTTTTTTTTACTTGGTCGCCCTCGTTTCACTACACATTACCTTTGTTATTTCAAGGGTAGTTGTTTCTGAAAAGGAAAACCCCAACTTTGCGAACACCCTGTATATATATATATAATATATATATATATATATATATATATATATATATATATATATATATATATATACTATCGAAACGAGATAAATTTTAGTGAACCCATACTTTCAACCTTGGTAGCCCCATTTTTTACGCCAACGTAGTCCCCGTGGAGTCTCCTGTGAACCCCTGGGAATCACTGGTCTATACGATAAATACACCTATGGCATGTGATAAGAATAAGTGGCGAATATCAACTATCTTTGTGCCAATCTCATACCACCAGACGGTTGTAAATGGTTTATTGCTTGCTTGCTCTTCATAGCAGAGATTTCACACGTTGTGCGCTGTCACGTGTAACCAGGCTCCTAGATATATTGTATATTGTAATATATACTAAGTGACATATAAATCCGAACACCCAGTTTAAATGGTTTTATTTTAACAAAATTTTGTATAAGTACTTAATGAAGCATAATAAGTAAATGATAAAAATTTCAAAATGATTGCACTGCTTTAAAGCCCTTTGACATTTAATAATGTGTGGATGCACCCTGAACATGTGGTCGGGCATTATCTTGTTGGAAAGTTGGATCTGCCAGGGTGTCAAGATAGGGTAAAAGATGGGGTTCTAGAACTTCGTGGATATAACGCTGCGCGTTCATGTTACCTCTGATGAAGATTAAAGGTAACCTGGAACCATAAGCTATAGCACCCCAAACCATAACTCCAACAGTGTGATGAACATGTCTTTCAACAAAAAACTGTAGATTCCACCTTTCACCATGTCGCCTTCTAACCCTGGCACGACCATCGTGCATGCCTAAACAAAATCGAGACTCGTCACTAAAGACAATACTGTTCCATTCCTGATCCCAGACTGACCGTTGTCTGCACCACTCAAGGCGATTACGTCGGTGTAAGGGTTAGAAGGCGACGTGAAAGGAGGAATCCACAGTTTTTTGTTGAAAGACATGTTCATCACACTGTTGGAGTTATGGTTTGGGGTGCTATAGCTTATGGTTCCAGGTTACCTTTAATCTTCATCAGAGGTAACATGAACGCGCAGCGTTATATCCACGAAGTTCTAGAACCCCATCTTTTACCCTATCTTGACACCCTGGCAGATCCAACTTTCCAACAAGATAATGCCCGACCACATGTTGCAAGAGTCACAATAGATTTCTTTCAACATAATGATGTCACATTGTTACCATGGCCACCAAGATCTCCCGACTTATCCCCAATTGAGCACGTGTGGGATATGATGGGTAAGAGATTGCTCAATTTGCAACGTCCTCCTCAGACTCTAGAAGCACTTCGAGAGGAGTTGGTGGTTGCCTGGAATGAGATACCACAGGACATTGACCACCTGATCAGAAGCATGCCTAGGCGCGTTGGAGAATGCGTAGCACATCAGGGTGCATCCACACATTATTAAAGGTCAAAGGGCTTTAAAGCATTGCAATCATTTTGAAATTTTTATCATTTACTTATTATGCTTCATTAAGTACTTATACAAAATTTTATTAAAATAAAACCATTTAAACTGGGTGTTCGGATTTATATGTCACTTAGTATATTTATGATTAGCAAGAAAATGACGTAGCTATAATTATTCAATAATTATAATATTTATTCACGTCAATTATAAATTGAAAAAGGAAAATATCCTTGTGTGTGGATATAATTCTAACACATATAACACAATAGTTACAATTAATTGATTGATGTCACACTTGGGATAGGTTAGAAAAAATATGTATGATATAAATTTTATTTTCAATGTATTGTGTTTTCAGGTGTGGAATACGTCATCTTGTGAATTCGTTCGAACTTTAGGAGGACATAAAAGAGGCATTGCCTGTTTACAGTATAGGGATAGATTAGTGGTTAGCGGGAGTTCTGACAATACTATAAGGTATTTTTTCTTTTAGCATTCAATTCATAACATGTCATGCACGTTATTAATTTCCAATCATGATTTTGTTAGTTAGCTACTTCATTGAAAATTAGGCTAGCGTTTATCAGAGCATAACGTAACTAAAACAAATAAATTAATTAAGAGATGGCAATTTGACAAAAGTCCAAGAATGATTATACATAACAGAAACGTAAATTATATATCTTTCATTTTTAGATTATGGGATATAGAATGTGGAGCCTGCTTGCGAGTTCTGGAAGGCCATGAGGAATTGGTGAGATGCATCAGATTTGATTCGAAGCGTATCGTGAGCGGCGCTTACGATGGTAAAATTAAAGTGTGGGATCTGCTGGCAGCTTTGGATCCCAGAGCACCGACTAGTTCGTTATGTTTGAGAACGTTAGTGGTAAGTGGATTGTTTAGGGAAAACTTATTACGACATTATTTCTCTAGCATATATATGGTCGATACTGCGAATACAGAATATTGATCACAGGATTCCAGAGACATTCAGAACAAATTTCAAGTTGACGCAAACTCACCTGTATCTAAATGATGTTTATATACAGTAGCATACAAAACTTTAGAAACAAATATTAACATTATTTATGAACTATTTCATATACCTAAATTAAAATTGTGAAGGAACAGATAATATAAATATTAAAGTCTGCCTTTGGCTCCCGTACTAATACAAGGTTTATCTTAATCAATATTAAAATTCTCTGAAAATAAAACACTCGTTTTTTTCACTACCACAGTTTTTGTAACCACAAAAGTATGGAAAAATTTCAATTTTGCCGTATTTATTCGTTCTGCGATACTGCGTGCGATAAACATTAACATCAGTGAGAATGGCAAAAGTAAAATAATTGTCAAAAGATTTAAGAGACAGAGTAATTGAATTATTTAGAAGTGGTGTCAGAAATGGTGACATTTCTCAAAGATTAAAACTGAACAAAGGGACGATTTTGAAAATTATTAGTTAATATCAAGAATACAAATCAACAGCAACGCGGCCCAGGTGCGGAATGCCGAATAAACCGATTGTTTTGGATCGCTACATTAAACGTGTGTCCCATGAAGATCCTCGAATGCCAGCCACACAGATTATCAAAAGATTCGTAGAAGAGAGTGCCGAGAATCTTTCTGTCAGAACAGGCGTCCAGTCCAGTGCAAAAGACTCTCATTAAAAAAAATCGTATTGCTCTGCTTGAATTTGCTAAAACTCATCTAACTTGAACAGAACAACAATGGAATACAGTTTTATGAAGTGATGAAAGCAAATTTAACTTGATTGGATCTGACGGTACGGCATATGTGAGACGTCCAATACGAAAAAGGATTCGACAAAAAGTATTAGTTGTCAACAATCAAGCGCGGTGGAGGGAATATAATGGTTTGGGACTATTTTTCTAGTTCTGTCCAGTTGTTAAAATTGTTGGGAAATTGGACCAAAAACTTTACAAAGATATTCTTAGTGAACACATGCTCCCTTTTGCTGAAGAAGAAATGCCCTTATGATGGACGTTCCAGCAAGATAATGACCCCAAGCATATCTAAAAATACGTAAAGGACTGGTTAAGACAAAAAATGTTAATGTTCTTACATGGCCCTCGCAATCCCCGGACTTAAACCCTATAGAACATTTCTGAGAGCATGTTAACAGACAACTGACAAGAAAACCTTTTAAAAATAGGAACGATTTATTGGATTATGTAAAAAATATTTGGCAAAATATTCCAACAGATGTCTGTAAAAAATTGGTGTCTTCTATAAGCAGCAGATGTCAGGCAGTGTTGAATGCTAAAGGCTATGGTACCAAATATTAGCTGAACAGTATTTTTTTTTAATTTTTTGTAGTAGAGTTATTGTATTTAATTTTGTAATAAAAAATATGTTTCCATACTTTTGTCGACTCATTTTCGGTCATAAAATAATATGAAAGTATTTTAATGCTAGTCTGCACAGCAAACACAAATTGTCATTTGTATCCTCAATACTGTAAACAAACTATATGAGAAAAAAATAGTACTTAATAATAAAAGATAAAAAATTAGCACACTTTTTAAAAATTACTAAGAATATTTCCAAACTTTTGTCCGCTACTGTAGGGTGGTTCATAGTGAATGCGCCAAAAACAGGGCAACATGAGAATTGCAAGTTAGGAATTTCTTAGAATGCTGAATACGATTATAACTGTTTTTTAACATACCATGTAGAGGATTCTATTTATGGGAGAAATAATAGAGGTTATAAATAGCAATCGGAATAATAGAATTATTGATAGATAAACAATTAAATATTCAGTTACCAACCATTCGAATTTTTAAATGGCTAATACGTTGAGGATAGTTTTGCATTCAATCGGAATATAGCTCGATCAATACCACTTTCGTAATTTTTGAACCATTCTCACTGCTTCTAGCCAGTGCTAAGGTGTGCTAAAATGATAATAGAATCCAAAAAGTGCGGCCATCATGCGAGAGAAATGTATATGTGGAATAGATACGGAGGATATACGAGCCCCTTCCCACTTCAGTTGACCCGACTATTAAAATTTTAGTTTTTTTCTTATCAAACACATAATAAAAATTTAGCAGGATGTTATAGGTTTAAAATATTAACAATGAATATTTTGATATTATATAGTAGAAAACACCAACTTTATCACTCCCTAATCAAATGCAGCATAAAAATAACACATGTTGCAATTATAGCATATCAATCTATTTTCATTTCAATGCAAAATAAGTCTATAACGCATAGGTGGCTGTGAAAAATAAAAGCCATGACAATTGTTTTTATTAATCACAGCTGTCAGAATACGTTTAAAATAGTTTTGGGTAGTTAAGGTTTTCAAAATGGGTAGAGGAAAGGTTATTAGTGATAAAATTCGGTTACTGCTAATTAATTTTTTTAATTCTGGGAAATCAAACTCAAAAATTGCAACTTTGTTAGACTTATCGCGGTACAGTGTGAGAAATATTGTTAGAAGATAACTAGTTCAGTTAATATTAAGCTACGATATGTGAAAAAAAGTAATATCACAAATGCCGACCGAAGAGCATTAAGAAGAATAATCGTGAATAACAGGCGTGCCAATTATTTACAATTAAGTGCTCTGTGGAGTGACGCTGTTGGAAGGAGAATTCCGAGGTCCACAACTCATATAGAGGCCCACAAACAGGGATTTAGCACTTGCAAGGTAAGTTTTCTTAGTGAAGTAAAAACTCTAAAGTTGCACAACTTGTTTATAGGCCAAAGAAAAGCCACTACTAACTCCACTGCAAAAGAAAAATCGGCTAAAGAACATAGACAATGGACACTTCAACAATGGAGTGATGAGGCCCGATTCGAAGTTGGCGTTGGTGACAGTCGCAGTAGAGTTATTTGCAAAAAAAATGAAGCATTCCATGTTGACTGTCTGAAGAGAAAAGTGAAATTTCCAGCATCCATTGTGGTCTGGTGCAGTATGTCGTCGAAAGGAGTAGGAAACTTTATTTTATTGATGGAAATGTGGATACAAACAAATATTTGGCAATTTTAGAAGAATCGCTTTTACCAGTGATGGAAGTATGTTTGACATCCGGCCAAGATTTTGTGTTTCAGCAAGATGGTGCAGCGTGCCATACCTCAAAAAAGGCTATAAAATGGATGGAAGAAAATAATGTACCACTTTTGAAATGGGTTTCTAGCAGTCCAGATCTCTCACCTATTGAAACTTTGTGGCACGAGATGAAAAAGATTCTACGACAACATCCTGCTCGTACAATCACCGAACTGAGACAAAAGCCTCAAGAAATATAAGACTGTTTTACACTAAATTTTTGCCAAAACTTGGTTAACACTATGCCCCAAAGAATTTCAGCCGTAATAAAAAATAAAGGTGATGTTATCCAATGGTAATATTTCAATTGTTGCTTTGTTAACTTCGCGCATTTATTCGCACATTATTTATTTGTTCAGATGTTCTATTAGTTATAGGTCTAAGTGATTTCAAATATGTATTTTTTACGACTAGAGTGTATCTAAAATGTTTTTGAGAAAATAAATTGTTTTAGAAGTAAATAGTTTCGTCATGCTTAGTTTATAAAGGCATATTTTGGTACAAATCTTGAAGTGAGCCAACTGAAGTGGGAAGGGGCTCGTACATACAGGTACATATATAACCTATTTTCTCAATCGACATATTTTTGAAAAAAAAGTTTGACAATGCCAGTTTTGAATATACCCAATCCGTATTCAAATTTCCATGTGCAGACACCTGCAAAAATTTTAGTAAGTCATACTTGCCTGATTATTATTTTCAGAAGTTGAATCCAGAACTGCATTGTGACACATTAATTACTGACCACCCACCCTATATATCCTTATGATAACATTCGTAACCTGTTATTCTCAGTCATGATTTTGATCATGTATATAGCTGTGTTACAGAAACATTGACACTTTTAAAGTCTGATGCTTTGGATATATTTATTCATCGTTTTTCAGAAAAGTATTTTTAGAACGGGTCAAAAGTTAGCAAGCTGAAATGTGTACTAATAAAATTGATGCATGATTACTATATTTTAATATAAAGGTGTTAGTTCAAAATTTCAAGATGGCGGCTGGGCGCGTTGTTTTTTTTAATGTTCCATATTGTATTGCAGATTCAGGCAGACGTTTTCAGATGAAGAAAATTGATGTAACATACTATGATCCTGATAGTCCGCCATTTTAAAAGATGGTGATTGTATATTCTAGTTATAAAATACCGAGCTATAAAATGAACTTTCACATTGAACCCCACTCCATTAAAAAAAGCTGAGGTCTATCGCAATCTTGAAATTTTCAACTGTCATTTTTACGCTAAAATTTAGTGAACCTACATAATTTTCATTATCCCAAATTGCAGCTTCTTAACGCAGTTAAAAAATTAAAGTGGGGGGGACTTTTTCGAAAAGCAGCGTATATGTTGGCCAATTATTAAAAGCTCATTCTCGACGTAGAGCTAATTAGCATTTGTTATTTAATTTATTGGTGAACAATAAACTGGATCCTATAATTGGTTTCTTTTTTCAGGAACATACCGGCCGCGTTTTTAGACTCCAATTTGACGAATTTCAAATTGTAAGCAGTTCACATGACGATACTATTCTGATATGGGACTTTTTGAACTCTATACCCGAATCGAAAAGCAGTTCGGCTTCAAAAGAAAATGCAACTAGATCTCCTTCACGTAAGTCTTAGACTATACATTTGAGTGAAATTTTCAATGCGCTAGTTGGTTACATATTGTGAATAGAGAGTCGAAGGTTTGAGATAATGTGGATGCGGTATGATTTAATCGATTGAATGGACATATTTTTTTAATAGGACCTATTTCTTGTCCAATACCTTCATAGCGATCTATGGGACAAATAAAAGGATACCATAAGGCGCCGACATTCTGATTGTGAACGTAACCATCCATTTCATGTATAGAGCAAAGTCTATTTGATACATCCATTGAATAAGTTGGGTCATATTCTAAGGTGAGCACTAAATACGTCTCCTAAGAATTATTATGTTACCTAAACATTATTATCACAACTTTGAAGCGAAATGTCGTTTGAACTGTAGAAGGGCAATTTTTTCCACATTCGTCAACATTTTACTTGTCATTTACCTTGCCTTTTACTTTCGAAATTTCGAAAATTAGATGTAATGTTTTTTAGATGTGATATGACGTACATCATGAAAAACTGTCACTCATTTTACTCGGTAGGTCTGCCTGTTTGTCCGCTAATTCTTAACCCACCCATAACCTGGAAAGGAAGTCTCGGATTTTGGTGAAATTTTTACACAAGGCTACTATTCCAAGGCCGAAAATGCTTTGTAGCGTTTGAAAATCGGACCACTGGCAGTGGAACTAGGGGCAAAAAACAATAAAAAACGGCTCAAACACCGTTTTTGACGTCGCAGAGGCTGCTGGTCATTTTCAGACAAAAAATTGTAAGGGTTTAAGATTGTGGGTTGTACGGGGTGGCGGAGGGCTATGTGCCTCTAATTCCGGTAATCCTACGCACGATAGAGACATTTTTTGGCTTCAGATTCGTCAGATGTTTGATAAATGGTACAATCCATTGCACTCCGCTTCTGCATATGCTCAGTTTCTGCGTCCCTAGGATAAACTCTCATCACTATATGACATTTTACTTAGATACATCGTGTACTGATACTCTTAAATACATATTCCCTACTATACTCCATTTTGTTATCGAAGTATTTGCAACTCGTGCAATTCAAAGAACATAGACATGTTTTCATCTGCGTAGCAGTTTTTATTAACTTATACTGTCATTAAATTTCATTTTATTTTTCTTGCGCATCTCTGTGTTATCACATTTTATTAGTCTTCAATACGTTATCTGTTTATTGTATGTTCATTATCTGATTGTGTAAATGTATTTTATCTGTTAGATGATGTATAAATACACGTGTCGCCGGCTGACCGATGGATGTCGGTTTTTCGTAGTCGGTGTTGGCTGCCGTGTCTGGCGAGTGGCGAGGTTAGTCATAGCAGCGTTATCAGATGGGTGGTACTGTCGGTAGTACCGGGGAGAAATTTCTTGATCGCAGCGGTGCCAAAGGGGTGGGGACTATGGACTAAGTGTATGAACCAGGTTGACTGACTTGTTTGACCGTTTATTTTTTTTTTTGTTATACATGTTCGTATCTAACTTTTGTCTCGGATGGGCGCGTTGCGCGGAAAGCGCAGAGTCATCCTACATCACGCCATTTTATCAATTATTCAGGTTGCGAGTATCGCCCGTCATTTGTTAGACATACATTTTTTGATGGCATCAGATGGTTGTTCAAAACTTCTTTGTATTCATATTATGAAACTATACTGTTGAGAGCACAATTTAATTAGCTTTTTAATTTCAGCATTCTCAACATTTGAATGAAGTGTTCCCTGCTAACGACGACTGTACAAACATTCTTACGATATGCATCCTATGGATGTAGCCGAACCTAGATCTTTTTTTAATTGTTAAGCTTCAAAAATGCCAAGCACTACGAACTACCCTGTCATAGTATCTGCTCTGAATTTTTGAGGTGTCTATGGATATATTGGTACACTGGTTGTACTGAATACATTTTTCCATGACAAAGATATGTGTTAAATCGTTTTTGTGTCGTAATCACTGTGTGTTACAGAGTGTTTCAGTTTTCGCATTATGTACAGGGTAAATCAGTATTTCATGCATATAATACTAAAAGAGCAAAACAGGAATATAAACAATTGATAAAAAGTTGCGATGCTCTTAGGCTTTAGTAAATTTCATGTTATGTGAATGTGGAACGTTGCTATTATGGAAACACTACAGAATAATTTATTTCATATTGATGTTTAAATACATTTTATACTTATGCTTCTATGACAACACTTTATTATAGTTTTCAGTGATTAGCCTGTCTTGTATCTGGTTTACATTATACCAGTGCTGTTTATTAATTTTTCCTAATGAAATATTTTTTCCGTTTAATAAACTGGTTTAATAACAATCTTCGATTGTTTGAAGAACATAGTCTATAGGTATACTATAAAAAATGAATAGTGTCTTTAACATGCACTATAGTTCAGCCTGATTATAATTTTCTTTCATATAGCTAGTCAAATCAAAAGCTTCTAATTTTTAATTTAATTATAATATTTAAATTTTCAAAATACATTTCAGTACTATTCATGAAAATATTTTTCATTTACACCTTTTTAGCATCAAGACTGACTTCCCCTGCATAATGTAATTTTGGTAGATAAATATTACTATTAAAGTACCATGTTGAATAAAGTAAGGACGGGTACACGGAGTTTTGGTATAATATGTTAAATGATAACTTATTGTAATGAAACTTCTGTACACAACTTGGTGCCTTACTGTATATAAAAATATACATATTTAGCAAGTTACAAATATGATCCGACATGGAAAATATATACAGAGTTTATGATTAAGTTTTTCATTTGGAGGTAGTCCTTTCATGTAAACTATGCTCTTATTTAAAATATCCAAAAGATAATTCATTCATAATCTATGATCTTTAATCCTTTCTGTTATTGTCAGTTGTACACTCATGAAATGGCATTGTCATGCTTATAAGATGTAGCAAGGAACGGTCCGCAGATTTCGTCCAAAGAAATTCTGAAAAATTCCTATAAGTAAATCTTGGCCTCTCAACTCATTCCTTGTATTTTGTCCAACTACATAATTTCTTTATCGAAATAAGTCAGTACCTATTACCAGAACAGATCACTAGGAAAGTGAAAACTGGTTTTCTACATAATTTCTTATTTAAGTCATAGAAATAATGTACTAGTTGCCTAGGAATTATGAATTGCCAGCTTGTTATATTTCTTTATACAACTCCGGATGCTGACCATAATAAAAATATTTAAAACAAAGTGAGACACCTCAGATAGAGCAAGTTCCTAGCATGGACTTTTTACATGGGTCCGACAATGTCGCCTTACTGAGAATCAGGGTGTTGTAATTATAATTTAAAATCGAAAAAGAAATTATATCTTCAGAGTGGATTAAGATATTGACTTGAAATTATGTACACAGACTATTATTATAGCCAATACATACAAATATTTTCATGATTTCAGCGGCGCTGAAATAGGGAAATTTTGTTACTAACAAAGGAAACATGAATATTGTTTTCTACGCCACATACTTTATTGAAACACCTATTGCTTTCTTGAATAAGGTATTCAATTTTTCAAGAATCTCCCTTCTAAAGAAATGTTTGCCTGACTACTACCTTTCGGAGAAAAACTGGTTTGAATATCTGAGGTAAAATCTATATAAAAAACTCCTACTCGTTCTAGTTTGAAAATAAACCGAGGTTAAAGAAGCTTGAACATTGTATGTAGTTTATTAGGAGAGCAATCCTACCTGAGCATAGCGTTATTTGGACAATGTTCAGGTTTTGTCCTTAATTCATTTAATCAGTGGTATAGTAATTTACAAGATCCTGAATGTTGGTAATAAAATATTTTAGTACCTATGTTTACAGGACCTTTTTTTGTTATTTTTGGATGTACTTCCTACTCTGGAAAATTGCCCCGTTTTTGCGATCTTTGGAAAATGTACTGTGTCCGCCTGTAGAATTAGCCACGTTGTGAAGTTAACATGTATGAAGAGGATACAAGTTCTTTAGGCGACAGAACGAACATTCTGTATTTCACTATCAATTAAGTGTTTCTATCGCAAATTATAGAATATGTGTGGTTTGAGTCATGATTATTCAAAAAAAATTAATACTTTTTAATGTAACCGACAACAACTAACCATTTTAAAACAAAAATGACCATGTCAACAATTTAAATATCCAAATGGTGTAACCTCTAATTTTGTTTTAAATGTTTTTATGATGATTCCCATCCGAAGTTGGCAAAGAGGTATAAGAAAAGCTGTTGACTTATTGAAAATTCGGGTAAATTATTTCTATAACTTGAAAGAATGAAATTTAACAAAGCACAAATAATAAAAAAATATATAGAACTGTATCCAGAATATATTAAAACATATCGGATACGTCAGAGCAGTATATCGAAAAATAAGGACTCTTCAAATTTAACTAGCAAAGTCAAGTTGGGAGATTATTCACAGGAATTTTTTGAACGACATCCGGTCCTGACCACCCCTCATAGTTAATCGAGCTGTAGCATGCTGCACTCTGAAATTAATGTTCCCAACTACTAGAGAAAAAGTGTTATCTATAATTTTAATCTCAAAGAATCGGTATATTTATGTTCCATATACGCGCTAAATGTTCCATTGTTTTGGGGAAACATAATATATTCATAGTATGGAACTGTGTTGATGTATGTCACTTCATGCGAGTGTTCAACAAATTTTAAGTCTCATCTGTGATAAAATTTTAATCTTCTACTATGTCTATTATGATTTAACATCATTGTATTTTATTACAAATGATTTTTTCATACTTAAGATACAGGGTGGTCATATAATTTGTTTTTGTTTATCTGGCCAGTATATAATGACATACTCTACACCCAAGCAACTATTTAAATTCAAAATGTAGACAGTTTAAACGTCACGATTTTAGTAGCTATTTGTTTTTGTTTTCTTAGTTGATTTAGTCGTCAAATATGTGCACCCTGTTTATTGACTTAAAAAAAAAACATGCAAAGCGATTTCAATCTTACGTATTTATTGTGAGCTTGGTAGCACTCTGTAATTATTAACAGGCACAAGATGTGCCTGTTATATAAAAAATAAAAGTATTTTACACTTGCTTGGCGTTTTCATTTTATCATTGTGATTGGGAGACTATTGGTGGAAGTTGAAGTAAGGCGACCAAAAATATTAAGACACATGTAAATATTGAAAATATGATATGTGGTTATTCTTTAATGTTGAGTAATTGTAATTCTATTTGTTAAATTTGAGATCGAGGATAAGAATATGCATCGATTTTTAGTGTGCAGCTACTTGCGCTCAGCCTGTAAATTAGCGAAGTCAGAGTTAAAGTACAATTAGAATCTTGTAATGACTCTTATAAACTAGTTTTGGAGATAGCTTCAGAGGAAATTTCCAGGAAAATTTCGAATGGTGCCAACAAAACTAAATTGGTACCGGCGGAAAGCGGAACGTGGATGAAGGTCGAACGTAGATTATTCAAAAAAAAAAAACCAAGTTAAAAAAATATTTTGTTTAAATGTAGTGGAAGTAAATGATTGTTTTGGCAATATCTATTGCCATCCAAATGTGAGTTTTTTGACCCAATGTACACCTTACTAAAACGGTACCAGCTGAGGATTGAACAAAATATACTTTGTCATTCTGGTTCATAAGAGTACTTTTTTGGGGGTACTTGCATGTACATTTTAATCGCTTGCCTAAATAGTAATCCTCTGACGGGCCGTCATCCAGTCGGCCTTTCGTTTTTGTGACACCAATCGAACCTTTTACAGGTAAAATGTATGCGCTGTAGCACATAAAAAACAGCACTGTGTGGTCGATCCTTTTTGTACACATTTGTGTACAATCTACCACATGATCTACAAAACCCAAGTTTTGTAGATTGGCTTCTGCAAAATGTGTGTATTGTTATATTGAGATTTGATTTTATTGTTCACTATTGAACCGATAAAAGTATGCTTTGAAAAAATGTTAGTAGATGTAAATTGTAATATTATCCAGAAATTGTTAGATATGCCTTTTCAAATTGTAGACATTTAGCTCATTTCAATATTGCTAGTAACGTAACACTACTATTTGTTACCAGCAAAAATAATGTTACAATTTTATTTGTGTTGACCTTTACACTAATCTAGACAGTGATTCAAGCCTATATGGAATCTTTTGTTTTCCATATTCACGTATGTTATGCTTTAGAAATTGTCCATCAATAAATTTTACTTGTGATATAAAGTTTCTCACACTTGAAAAACTATTTTTTAGCCGAAGGTTGCTGTAAACATTTCTACCAAAAAAACTTTGAATTACCCTTCCTCAGTAATTTTGCTTATAATCCAACTAACTATTGGATCTTGACTGATCTCATGCGTGTTCATGAATTTGACAGATATCCGTTATCAAAACGAATATTGTTAAATTATTCAACTTCTATAAAAGATGAGAAGTAACAACTAATATAATATGCTAATACAGGCTTTGAAGAACGAAGTGGTGTTTAAAAAAAAATACTCCTTTATAGGATAGGAGTCATGTTAAGTCGCTCTTTACATATTTACGCGGAGGCTGAAGCATTAATAAATGTTAAGGGTTTTTACGTAGCCTTGAATATTCTACATTTAAGAAACTTCAATTCACGTCTCTTTGGTGTTTTGGTAGTTCTACAAGTCGTAGCCTGCTTTCGGCTTCTCACATAATTTAGTTATCAAAAGTGTATGGCCAATATTGTAGGTTGTTAGTTTCTAGAGTATTCTCACTTACAAGCAGAAACAAAATTGTTGGTCTAGTTATCTTCTGATTCCTGAAACATAATTTCACTTGACATAGAGCAGTTTTACACAAGCTGACTTACCGACAAAATCAAAATGAAGTTCACCAAGATTGGCGAGTAACAACCAAGAGAATTTAAGACTAAATTAGTATGTTTCTGAAAACAGATGAAATTGCGGACTCCCATGCCATATAGCAAAATCCAGGGGGGGGGGCATGGTTGGTTTACAGGTTGTGCAGGATCAAAAATGCTGAGAACTAGCCAACCCGTTGGTGACTTCAAAATGGTAGCAGAAATAATATCTTCTATGTTGAGATGTTAAACTTCTTACCCAAGGATTGGGTGTATCTTATTAAGAATATTTCACTTTGAAGCAGAATCTAGGGGGGCATATGCTTCCCTTGCCCCCCCAATGGGCGCCCATGCTGACTTCAGTTGTTCCATATATGAATGTAGTGTAGTTATTTAGTCTCACTATTAAAAATAATTATCCCATTATTCATATAGATAATTCCCAAAGTCGCCAATTTAAAACATTTTCGCAACATAGTTTTCAGTTCTGTTGGTTGGTGCTGGCCTGTAATCCAGAAACAAAAAAGCCATGCTGCTTGAAATTTATTTGGCATTTGTCACTGATCTCCACTACCATGAATTTTGCCACATCATAATTACAAGTGGAGAGCCAATATTTCGACAACATAAAATTATTTTTAAATCCAACTGACTTTGAATTGTGTGAATATTGAAATTTGTTTATAGTTTATGCAAAATGTCCAAGATAAAGCCTAGGCTCATTTATAGTGCTTTTCTGAAATTCCCCTACTTATTTTTGGATCAGCAACGTCAAATTTGGAAGCATGAGATTAACACATGAAGATATTTTAACGTAAAAATAACAGTTGAAAATTTCAAGAGATGGGACGATGGGGTCATGTGATACTTTATTTTGAAGCTCCTTACAAGGACTTTATAACCCTGCAATATGACAATACTATCTTTTAAAATGGTGGGCTGGCAGCTTGACTGAGCATTTTAGTGTGTTGATTCACTTATAACTCAACAACTAATTATCAAAACATTATAATATTCTATACCAACATTCTTCTATTGAAAGGATCTATCTGAAGAATGTGCAATAAAATTTGGGACAAAAAAATGACAGGTTTTGACAATTTTCTTAAATGGAAGGTTCCACATTTCATTATATTTTCAGATAGTGCCTTCCAAGAGATGGAAGTTGATCTAACAATACGCGTATAACACTTTGATTATTGGTTATTGAGTTATACCGACTCAATGTAGAAAAATGCTCAACTTTGACAGTCTGCCAGTTCGCCATTAGGAAAGATGTGATTTTATATTCTAGGAATAAGTTACCTATAAAGAGCTCAAAATGACGTATCGCGTGACCCTCCATGCCATTTAAAAAAATGTGATAAAATGGCGTCTAGTCCACTACTTTTACACTGAAATATATTCATGCATCAATTTTATTGACACGAATTTTAGCTTGCTAACTTGTATGTTATTCTTGGTTGATTTTTGTATAGGGTATTGAAAATATCGCATTGTAAATAGTATATAAGTGCAATACGATGTTTTTAATCCTTGTGTTTTTTTCTAGGTCACCGAACTTTTCATATAACTCAACTTTTATAACCTTGTACATACAGAAAGGTAGTCATATTGCTTTGCTACTGGTTGTCAGTATTTTTCCTAGATAGTTGTTTACAAATCGTACAAAGAATCGATTTTTCATCTGTTTGTACGTTGTGTTATAACAAATTCTGCCAAATGTAGGTTAAAAATTGTATAAGTGAAGAATTATGAAATTTATAGATCAACTGAAATACTTATGAAAAGCTTTTGTGATAAAAAAAATCTTACTAAAATGGTATGAATGGTTTTTTTACATTGAGTGATTGTATCTTTATTTCTTTACTTCATTATGAAAAGGTACTAATTATAGTTTGTTTTATGATGTAGGTGTAAATATTATATTCATAGTATTTAATATATTTTGTTCGCATTTATTTAGATTTATTTATATTTTTTGTGTGTAATATAAACTTGACGATGGAGGCTGCGTTTTATTTCACAAAATATCATATTGCACATTTAATAGTGATCCTTCAACCTGGGAGCTTCTTCACAAAATTCACTTTTGGGATACCATGGTGGCATCTGATTATCGGAGAGCGGCGGATGAGGCATCATGATTTTGAAAAGGGCCGCCTTAAGCCAGCTGCATTGCTGGTCTTTCCGCTAAAGAGAACGGCGATGGTATTATGCCCAAAAAATACATTTTGCTGGTTGATGGGCCCCTCTTGCTGCGGGCCCTGCGACTGCACAAATGCAGCCTGGAAGATATAGTCTGGTGAAATTAATTTCTCAAATATTGGGAACCCTTAAAACGGTAGGTGTGTGTCGATGACGTCTGGTGCATTGAAGGATATAGTCTGGTGAAATTAGCTTCGCAAGTCTCTGCTACGTTCTCACGGGGAAAGTAGACAGTGGCACGCTTACCATTTTGTTTTCGTGACTTGGTTGGAGTGGGGAGTGAAACGTGACCCATTCAGGGTCGTGGACTGTCTACGCGGACATGACTCACGGTTCAGAACATTCCAGTCGACCAGCGCGGGTTTCAGGTATCTTGAAAAGTGATATTATGTCGGTTTTTCTACAAGATGTTAACTTGGCATTAGCTGATGGACACTTGTTGTGAACTCGTTTTATAGTTGTACGTATTGCCTAAACGTCATGATGCTTCAGTTATCAATGTTTGGCTCTGATGTGATGTAAAATCTGCTTCAGAGATGGCATTATTGGAGGTCTGAGCTGTAAGTTGTATACTATAGCTAGCAGGAAACGGCAGTTCATAGTGAGGATTTGTGTGCTAATAAAAACAAACGGTAAACATCGTAATTTATAACTTTGAACATAACCTGTCTTCAGAAAGGACAACATATAAATAACCCGTCGGGCACAGCTAATAGATATACTTCATTGGCAGCATATTCAGTAGTAATTTTATCACATAGCAAATATCACTGATTTTATATACACTCAGACCAATACACATAATCAACAGCTGCGATCTTGCTATTCAAACAACTTTCTTTCACATCTTCTCAGAGATAAACACTACAGACTACTCGGCTTCACATAACATACACTTGCTTTCTGCAACCAACAATGCGTGTAGCCGAGTCATTCCTCCATGGATGACGGACGCTCACAGCGATCATAGCGAGCAAACGTGGAATTAACTATTTGCACCCTAAGAACTAACTAGTCTGCAAGATGACGTTTTATTTTTTTACGTGTTATACGTTTTTTACATAACAGCCCCGCCGCACAATCCCAGAAGACTGGAAACAGGCGGGAAAACTGACACGTATTTGTATGAAGAAAATACTGTCGATAAGGAGGGCGTGACTATTGAATATGTAGTGCGCAGGGTTTTTAAACAATATATACAGATATATTCTACTTGCAATTCATCAAAACTGAAGTTGTCTCCGTTTTACGTCCATTAGGGAGATACCACATGCGCAGAATCTGAAATACATTTGTGATGCAATGGCTGTAGTAGATAGCCCGCCTTTCTCGACACTTAGGCTTCACACCCCTTTATTACCTTAGCACACTGTTTCCACTCTTCTTGACGCTGTCGAAAGCCACGTGGTGATTACGATGTCTCTCTGTTGAATGGTGTGTCCACGCCTGGAAATTACGTATTTAATCGTGAACTTGAGTCTCTTTGGATGACGTCATAGGAGAACTCAACTCCGTGAAAAGGTATCATTATTGGGGATACGGGAGTAATCATTGCCGTAAGGTGGATTAGCAAGTTTTTCAGGCAAACACCTCGAACGAGAGTAGTCGACGTGCGTGGGAGGATTAAAGGATAGTCTGGTGGAATTAACTTTACAAGTTTGTAAGGCAAATTCTTTGAGCCGATGTAGTAGGGTGGGTTAAATGATATAGTCTCGTGAAATAAACTTCTATTAGCATGCAACTCGTACGATTGTAGGCGATATTGTCAGGTGGAAGGAGATAGACTGTTAAAATTAACACCGCAAATTTAATTGAGAAACACCTTGAACGATCTCGTCGGATCCCGTGCAGTGAACCTCGAAGTGCATTTGTCAAATGTATTTTTGGAAATTAAATGTGACATACACGAACGCTGAAATCTTGAGCTTTCAGCAAGACGTTAACGTAGATCTATAAGAATGACAATCGCAGCAATGTGCCCGCGTTGAGCGCGCTGTTTACAATTCTTGCCACTCCCAAACAGCTGATATTCATGTTACTCCAAATTTCAAGTGTTTTATTTCTATAGGAACCATCCACGCAGGCCAATTTTAGTGACTGCATTTTGTTAAGAGCTTCACATTTCTCCGAACGACTCGTCGTCATACTTTTTGGTTGTAGTTGCGTCAAATTTGGCATCATAAGACGATTTTTTGAATGGGAAGGTTAAAACGGCGGCCTTAACTTTGAGCAGCAATTACATTATTTTCGTTATCCTAACGTTGCACTAGAATTCGTACAACATCAAATAATCCGTTTTTGAGGTCGGTATTAACATATGACGTATACGTTTTGCTTCACGAGTTACAGTATTGCTTCTCACATTATCATTTCCGTTATTTTTCGAGTCAATAATCCAAATCGACGGCTGCCTTTGTTGAAAAAATTTAGAAGGCATTTAGAATTTAATAGTCAAGCATTAGCACAGTTGCGACCATAAGGAGACCAATTAGTCATATAAAAATAAATGGGCATATTCATGTGTAAGTTTTGGTCGCATTCAAGAGCAGAAATGAAATGAATTGAGATGGAATCGGAAGAAAAAAACAAAGTATGTAGCAAATATATGTCTAATTAACAAAAATTCATAACATAGATAAAAATAGTTGTTACAACTAAAACATCAATCAATCTCATTCATAATCATTTATCCAAACACACTCTCATCGACCTCGGCACAATTTATTATGCGAAAACTCCAAATTAAAAACTGCACATGTAATAAAAAAATTTGCACTTTTTAATTCGAATGATGTAAGATCGCCCCGGTGGGTAACAAGTCGAAATATCCTGTCGAGACATTTACATCGCATTTATATACACTAGAATGTTTGTACGGATTAATTTCTCGTAGAAAAAACTATTAATTCTTTTCTTCCTTCTTTTCTTTAGGCTCTTCAGTCTGTTGTCCTTCTTGGGTATTACTGCTTGATCCTCCTTCTCGTTCAGCTGCCATCTACAATAATGAATGGAAATTGTTAGATTTATCAATAATGTCCTGATTACTAAAAAAATACTTTTTGCCTCACGATACGACTTTTTAGGTTGTATATAAAAATGCCGGGAAACGATACTATAGTCAACGCCAAACAAAGTGGCGTGCACGTCATCACGATAAAAATTCCCCGACCTAATGCCTAGGTTTCTATCACAAACAATTGCTCTATTGCAGTTTCATATTAATGTGATATATAAATTGTAAAATGGTCATTACTCTCTTATTATGGTTAATAGTCATATAAACATTGTTATTAAAATATCACATAAGTTGCTTTCTGATAAATTTAGACGCATTATGCGAAATAAAATGTTTTGCAAACGCTCCAATCACTTATCGACATGTAAACGCACTAAACCGATTTCGCAGCGTTGACACATTGTCACCTTGAAACTTATTTAAACTGGGAACTGACATTTGTATTAATTTTGACACTGAATCAATTTGTGGCATTTCAAATCTTTATAAATCCTTTGGCCCCGCATACTGTAAATCAACAACTGTTTGTTTCAAAACAAAATTATTCATTTTACGAGTAGATAAAGGCAATTTTGGTATATAAAGATGCCCAAACAGTTAAATAGTCGGTGTAAGGAACTCGTGGCCTCGTTAATGCACTACTTTGAACAAGAAAGGGACAACAACGGGCCTTTGTTGCCTTTAAATGCTGTTCAAGAGGTAGGTTACTAATAATTATATGTAATGTATATTAATAATAGTGAAATTTGATTTCATTTTTTGTAGCGTGTTGCTGCTGCTTTAAAAATTAGTTTAAGGACAGTTAGTCGTATTTCCGAGGGTGTGAAAAGTGATGCAAATTTAGAATCGCCCAAGAAAAAGCGGAGTTATATTAAACGTGTAACCAACACAGCGACATTGGATACAAGTGCCATTCGAGAAGTGATCTATAATATGTATCACAAAAGTAAGATCTTATTATAATAACTTATCAGAAATTTGCATTAATTTGTTAACTAAATTATAATGTCATATTACACATGGTTTCAGAAGAACAAGTTACGATACAAACTTTATGGTCTCGATTAAGAGATAGGGCATTATTTGATGGTAGTGCCACGTCTTTAAGGCGGTTGCTTAGAGATCTTGGATTTAAGTGGCTTAAGGACAATCCGCGACGAGGGCTCATGGAACTACCAAGTATAGCTTTGAAAAGGGTGGAATTTCTAAGGCAATACAATCAAGCCAAGGTTGAGGCCTTATACCAGTTTGTCTTCCTCGATGAAACTTGGATATTTCAAAATGGGACCATAGGTCGCTCTTGGCAAAATGGAAACTAAAAAAGCGTGAAAGCTGAAAATGGGTTTATTGAGGGTAGTGAAGCGATATTTTCTTCGAAAACAAAATTGAGCGATTACCATGGAGAGATGAACCAGGACAATTTTTTGAAATGGTTTCAACATCAGTTATTAGAAAAATTGGAGAGTCCATCTATGATTATACTGGATAACGCCCCTTATCACAGCATGATATTGAACAAAGTGCCCAACAATGCATGGACAAAAAAAAATATCCAAGACTGGTTGACAAATCAAAACATACCATTTTTAAACACAATGTTTAAAACAGAGCTATTGAGTATTGTTGCTCGGTACATAATGCTTCTTATTATATATATTTTGGTCGACAGTTTATATTTCTTTTGCTTATTCCTATTCATAAAATAACTGCTTTTTTAGAAACAAACCACCTAAAATATAAGTGATTGATGAATTGGCGGAACAACATGGGCACAAAGTTCTTCGTCTGCCTCCTTACCATTGTATATTTAACCCTATTGAGTTAATTTGGGGCATAGCAAAAGGTTACTATAACAGACATATTGGTAGAGATGGTAACAGTGAAAAAGACTGTTTGGATATGTGGAACGAGGCTCTACAAACGGTTACCCCAGACATGTGGAAAAATAGTGTTCGACATACTGAGCAAGAAATTTTTAAATGGTATGAAAGAGAACGAATTTTTGATCGACCAGACATCGAACCTTTAATAATCAACTTTGAGAGTGATGAAGATTCAGATTCAGACAGCGCTGAAGAAAGAAACTCCGACTAACTTTATTGTACAGAAAAAGCTTACACCAGTAGCTTACCTAATTTTAGAATGCATTTTTCTGTATGAATTCTGAAAAATAAATACCATGCATAAAATTTGGAGGACCCCATTTGGATTTTTATTCAGTACCTTTAAGCTATCAATTAAATATGGTAGTTTCATAGTGTCATCTGATCAATAATTGTCATACTTAATGATTATGCAAGTACAGATCTATAATTTTATTATACTATTATTTTTGTTCTCATCTGAGGTTAATATTGCTTATAAACCTAGATATGTAAATAATAAATTTTATTATTTTACAAAAAGTTTGGCAACAATGTAAATTTTTCAACACACCCACCTTGATGACGTGCACGCCACTTTGTTTGGCGTTGACTATAGTGAATATAGTACAATCTCACAAAATACCTGGTTGTGAAAATATAAAGAACACATGGTATATGACCTTTAGCTTCATGTTATACATACGTCAAACGTACCGAATTTTCAGTGCCGGTCTATCGAGAAGATGCATTCCTACAGTGCAAATTATACGAATAAACGCATCCGTGTTGGCCTGGCGTTGACACGCACTGTATCCAGGTGCTCCATTTCTATAGAACTAACCACGCTATCTCCAAATACGGAGTGGCGCGGCCCATTTTGGACTGATTAGATATTCACTTTTTGAGTATCTAGGTATTTGGCTGAGGCTGCAAGATAAAGCGATAGTGAATGGGTAGTTTAAGGCTGCGCCATGATGTAAAATCACAGTCCATCGTATTCGCCATCCAAATGCCGCCGCTAAGTTCGTAATATCAACGTCACGCATTTAGCGTTCGGATAGTATCAAAAAATGTGCCCAATTTGGATTACAAGTGCAGCGTTAAAAATGCAGTACAGACTCTAAACACGCGGCGGTTATGGATGTTGCTATGGACCCGACGTATGATTAATCAATTTGATATCGCTATGATTCGGCATCATAGCCGTCGCGTAGAGCTACCCATTCAAAATCCACTCACAATGCCACATTTAGTGCAATCATTACCAAAGCTATTCACTATATACTGGCGTAATTCAAAAAAGGGCCATAAAAGCAATGAGACAAAATTTAATGAAACGTGTAGAGGCGTATTTAATTCTATGGGTTTAATGACAGTATATGCACTTTACATTCTTGAATGTGTTACGTTCACAGTGCAAAATAGAAACAATTTCCTCACGAAAAACGATTACACATAAGCTACAAGAGCTCTGAATGTTTTGCTACCTCACCATAGGTTGAGTTACTAAAAAAAAAAACACTTGACAGAGCAACTTGAAACGGGATTAGGTATTCTGAATACAT